GAGTGAAGAGTAGCTAAAGCAAATGGAAGAAATGACAAGATAAAAGAGCTGAACAGAAGATTTCAAAGAGCAGCTCAAGCAGACAAAGCCAATTACTGTAATGAAATGTGCAAAGACCTTGGCTTAGAAAACCAAAAGGGAAGAGCATGCTCAGCATTTCTCAAGCTGAAAGAACTGAGGAAAAAAAATTAAGCCTTGAGTTGCAACATGGAAAGACTCTATGGGCAAAGTATTGAATGATGCAGGAAACATCAAAAGAAGATGGAAGGAATACACAGAGTCACTGAACCAAAAAGAATTGGTTGATGTTTGTCCATTTCAGGAGGTGGCATATGATCAAGAACCAATGGTTTTGAAGGAAGAAGTTGAAGCTGCACTGAAGCAAGTGGCGAAAAACAAGGCTTCAGGAACTGACAGAATACACATTGAGATGTTTCAACAAATGGATGCCGCACTGGAGGCACTCGCTCGGCTGTGCTAAAGATTTGGAAGACAGCTACCTGGCCAACTGGAAGGGATCCATATTTATACCCATTCTAAAGAAAGGTGATCCCACAGAACGTAGGAATTACCAAACAATATCATTAATATCGCACACAAGTAAAATCTTACTGAAGGTAATTCAAAAATGGTTGCAGGAGTAGATTGACAGAGAGCTACCAGAAATGCAAGCTGGATTCAGAAGAGGACATGGACTGAGGCATATCATTGCTGATGTCAGATGGATCTTGGCTGAAAGCAAAGAATACCAGAAAGATGTTTACTAATGCTTTATTGACTATGCAAAAGCATTCAATTGTATGGATCATAACAAATTATGGATGACATTGAGAAGAATGGGAATTCCAGAACACTTAATTATACTCATGAGGAAGCTGTACATAGAACAGGAGACTGTCGTTCAAACAGAACAAGGGTACACTGCATGGTTTTAAATCAAGAAAGGAGTGTGTCAGGCTTATATCCTTTTGCCATACTTATTCAATCTGTATGCTGAACAAATAATCCGAGAAGCTGGACTATATGAAGAACGTGGCATCAGGGGAGACGTATTAACAACCTGCGATATGAAGATGACACAACTTTGCTTGCTGAAAGTGAGGATGACTTGAAGCACATACTGATGAAGATTAAAGACTACAGTCAGCAGTATGAATTACATCTCAATATAAAGAAAACAAAAATCCTTACAACTGGACCAGTAAGCAGCATCACAATAAATGGAGAAAGGATGGAAGTTGTCAAAGATTTCATATTACTTGGTTCTACAATCAACACCAGTGGTAGCAGCAGTCAGGATATCAGACGACACACAGTACTGGGCAAATCTGCTGCAAAAGACCTCTTTGAAGTGCTGAAGAGCAAAAATGTCTCCTTCAGAACTAAGGTGCGCCTGACACAAGCCATAGTATATTCAGTCGCCTCATATGCATGTGAGAGCTGGACAATGAATAAGGAAGACCAAAGAAGAGTAGATGCTTTTGAGTTGGGGTGCTGGTGAAGAATACTGAAAGTACCATGGACTGCTAAAAGAATTAACAAATCTGTCCTGGAAGAAGTGCAGCCAGAATGCTCCTTGGAGGCAAGAATGGCCAGACTACATCTTACCTGCTTTGATCATGTCAGAAGGGACCATTCCCTGGAGAAGGATATCACGCTTGGTAAAGTGGAGAGTCAACAAAAGAGGAGAAGACCCTCAAGAAGATGGATTGACACAGTGGCTACAACGATGGGCTCAGGTGTAGCAAGGATTTGGAGGCTGGTGCAGGACCGGGCAGTGTTTTGTTCTGTTTACATGGATGGGGTCACTATGAGTTGGAGACAACTGGATGGCACCTAACAAGACCAACACAAACCCAACAGAAAATTCACAAGACAATTCCTTCCAAATGACAACCTTCTGAACTTTAAATAGATGTATACACAACTTTTACTGCTGAATCATAATAATATAGGCAATACTTAATGTTTTTGTCCCATTTCTATATTAAGAAAAAGAAAAAAGGAAAACCAAACTCACTCCCATCAAGTCGTTTCCAAAGTGGTATATCTTCACAGAAGTAGAATGCCCCATCTTCCTTCCCCAGAGCAGCTGGTAGGTTTGAACTGCCAATCTTCTGATTAGCAGTCAAATACCTTACACACTATGCCATTCTGGTTAGCAGTCAAATACCTTATGCACTATGCCACCAGAGCTCTCTCCTCTGAACCCTTCACAAATTTCTCAAATCCCTTAAATAGTGGAGCCAACTGATGTACCCAACTGGAGAAGTAAAGAGACCTGAAGTGCTATCAAAATGTGTTTACAGCATCTCCTGTCACTTCACATTTATGTAGATTTTCATGCTGCGTGGTGTGAAAGGTTTATGATAATAAATGTGGTGGAGCTCAGAGTGAGTGGAATATGATGATCAGTGATCCCAGAGATGGCATTCTGCCCCGGTCACACCTAAGCTATCATTTGTGCCTTGAATGAGTAAGGCTTGCTGCTCATTCCGTCCACGATATTCTTCACTCTCGCAAACTTCTTATATTTCAAGTGGCTTTTTCAAACTGTTATAAGTACTTTACATTTTGGTCCATCTTCCAGGGTGCCAATCACATGGTGTTTGTGACTGAAATGTAAACAGTGCTCTTTTCATTATCCCTGTAGCTGATGAAAATGTGGGCAGCCAGTTTCTGCCTGCCATGGTGGAATCACCTCTCAGTCCTACACCCACGCTGATTTCCTTCTCAAACCCTATTTCCCAGCACATTTCCAAAGCTACTGCCTACATCCTAATCTCAGCCCCTGCTTTGAGAGAGAGAGGGGGGTGCTGTGCAGGTTAGGCTCAGCTGTGAGCCAACTAAAGGGTGACTTAAGCAGGTTAATGTCCCTTGGTCTTGTTGCCTTTGAAATAGGGAAAAGATGCAGCTCTAGGAAGTTATATCAAAATCTCATCTACTATTTGAAAGCAATGATGGTGCCTTGTCCCCATGAGGAAAACAAAACACAGAACCTTTCCCACAGCTCAAGCTAGTATGAGTTGGCCTGTGTTTTCACAAAATCAGCATGTTTTTCCTCTTGGCATTCTTTCACAGTAACCCTGGTCTCGATGGCATTGGTAAAAGCCCAACTCCCACCTGGAATTCTTGATTCAGAGGTTAATGTTTAATCACACAGGAGCCGATCGCCGAGGGGACAACAATAACAGCATGCTTAGCACTTGCCATGTGCCAGGGACCTTTCTCTGAGCTTTACACGTTAGCTCTTTTGATCTCACAACATTATGAGGAGAGTGCTCTCCTCATCTGCAGTACAGTGAATTAAATTACTTGGTATGGCTTTTCTAGCCATAGACTTTGTAACTCCCACCAGATTGCTGGGTGGTGGTGGTGGTGTTAAGTGCCTTCAAGTCATCTCCAACTCATAGCGACCCCTCCTTGGGTTTCCAAGGCAGTATCATTACAGAAGTAGATTGCCCAATCTTCCTTCTGAGGAGTGGCTGGTGGGTTTGAACTGCCA